TAATTAATTAAAGCATGTCAGAAAGGAGACACAAACCAAGCCTCGGGGGTCGCAAGCTAGTGTACTCCCAGTGCTCGGCATCTGGTGCAAAGATGAGTTCCAAATTAGCATGAGCATCCATCCACTGTGGCATCCCCTTGGGAAATTACATTTTTATACAAACGGGCTTTTAATTAATTTTAACTTGTATGTCTGATCTTATTGTAAAGCACTTTGTGATTTTTATCTGTAAAATGTGCTATATAAATAAATTTTACTTACTTACTACTTACTTACTTATTATTTAGCAGCTGAAAGTTTCTTTCTACCTTCCAGAGTAGTATTAGAGTCTGTTAAACTTGTTTCATATTCGAGACAATTTACTTGTATGGACTTGCATGATTTTATTTTAAGTTTAATTATGAAATATACAAAGTTATTTAAAAGATTCCTGACTTTCTCTGGATTTTAGTTGTGCAGGATTTCAAAGTTAGTTAGAATGGTTTTCAGTTAACAGGTGAGCCTTGTCAAACCATTATGTTGATATCCAGCAAATTAGCCCCGTTCAATGCACAGCAAGAAATTCTTAAGTAAAACAAAATAGTGTCATTAAGCTAAACCAAAACAAACCAGATAACCAAAAATGCCGCATAGAGAGTGAAACTGACTCGCTATGTTTTGCTTCTGTCCATTCACAGCCCCTATGGACCAGCCATGTTGTCGAGCGCTCTACGACTTTGAACCAGAGAATGAAGGTGAGCTGGGCTTCAAAGAGGGGGATGTCATCACCCTGACCAATCAGATCGATGACAACTGGTACGAGGGTATGATCAACGGCCAGTCGGGCTTCTTCCCCATCAATTATGTGGATATTCTGGTGCCGCTCCCTCATTAGGTCCTGTTACCAACCTTCCGCTTCCCCTCGACCAATCCAGACACCCAGAAAACAGCCTGTATTTGCATAAACAACAAACCACGCCCTCCTTCTACTTCTTCTTCTTCTTCTTCTTCTGTGCTTCTGTGCGATTCTGCTTTCACAAAATGGACTGAAACGAGAGAGAAGCCCGAGATGGGATACATAAGATGCGGCAGTAGAACAGCGATTAGAGTAGAAGAAGAAAGGGAGAGGAGGATTATAGCGTGAGAGCTGCATAAGCAAGGGACTGAAAGAGATGAAAAGACAAAGAGATGATGTTCTTTTATAGCACAGTGCTTGGCCGGGCAGCACAGAATACTGTGAGGTTATGGAGACTTGCGAATAAGGCACGGTGTATATGTACGTGCATGTATGTGTCTATATGTGCGTTTTGACCTGTTCTTACTGTATTTATGATCAAGCCAGCACAAATTCCTGCTTGTCGGTTTAGCTGCCTGACAGCTTTTTTGTGAGACTGTCTTCTTTCTTCTTTTCTTGCTGTATTTCTCTAAAAGTAACTGTTCTTTCTACCTTAACTTGCCTTCTTGTGCTCTTTTTCATACCTAAATTTTTCAGAAACTGTCACAGTTTTACCAGCTGTCTATCTTTGTTACTTTCTCTTGTCTTGTTATTTTCTTTCATTGGGTAGCACTACCTTTTAGAAAGGCTCCATAGTCCAGATTGTAGACCATCAAAATAACAACCCAGAGCCACAGATCCATAGAGTTTACGATTTAGGTATATTTCAACCTCTTTCTAGCTCTTTTTGTAACACCCTCTGCCTTTGCTGACACTGCATAGCATTTTAATTCAGTGGCTGAATGCATGATCCAGCCAAAAAAAGATTGACTGTGTTGAAGTAAGCTGGGTCTTGCTAGAATGGAAAAGAGAACATTTATCCACTTGTTTTTAAACCCATTTATCTTGTAAAATGGAACTTTTAGGAGGGTTTTGAGGCTTGAGGATCAAGAAACTCATTCAACACATCACTAAGCAGGAGTTCAAGTGATGAAAAGGAGAAGTTTGGGTTACTCTTTTTACCAAGCAGCACTGATATGCCATCACAGCCACAGATGAATGTTATTGAACAGAGCCTTGTTTGTTTTTGTTTTTTATTTGATACACATTTGAACATTCCAGTATGCATAGTGAGAAAGAAGTTTGTTTGTTTTTTCCTTTCTATATACTGTGGTTTCCTTGTACTCTGTGGAGTAGGAGCTTGCTGATTTGTCTAAATATGTGGCTTTTGCATGCATGACTCAGTGTGGCTAGATGGCTTAAAAAACAGCAATTTTAGATTTCTTCAGATTTTCAATAACTCATGCTCAGAAACATAATTAAGTTTGGGAGGTGATACTCCCTTGCCAAAAGGCACGTCAGTAGGACATGTAGTAGCTGATGAACAGTTACAACTAGTGCTCCCAGCGTTGATCTCATTAAAATGACATTAATGCCATTTTAACGAGATTAACGCTGGGAGCACTAGTTACAACAATTAATATCTACCCAAGAATCTGTCTGAGAAGTATCAGTAAAGTCTACTGTGAATGACCATGGCAGACCCGATGACATGAACGTGCTTTGCATCCTTTATTTACACACAAACACATAGAGATTTAGCTCTCCTGCTGCCAGCTCAACAATATCACAACAACTAACCATCACAGGACCCGTCAGCGGGGCATGATTGCAGATGCTATGCAGGTGCATCTGCCTTCCTTGCATGGCACCGCAGGCCCCACCCCGCCACATACCCCCATCGCCCGACTGAGGCCGGGCAGACATCCGGCCGAACCTACTCCACCACCACGAGCGGGAGAGGGGATCAGCCCGGATCGTCAGTGCCCCTGGCCCCTGGCCAAGGGGTGTCAGTTCAGGTGGCCGCCCACGAACCCAGCGACGCCGGCGAAGCTGGTTCGGAGGTCAGCCGCGTGGCAGGTGGACGCGGCGCGGCTGGCACGGTCGTGAGCCCCAGCTAACAGGCGGCTGGGCAGATGTTCGGTGTACACCGGCCACTGGTTGGGGTGAGGCCGGTCTGGCGTGCACGTCCAATTGAGCAGGCTCCCCTGGCATAGGGACCTCCATCTCCTTGCGCGGCCCCTCCGTCACCACCACCACCGCAGCTCCAGGCTGGAGCAGCCCCTCGCGCGGCCCCTCCGTCACCACCCCCGCTTCCGGCTGGCGGGGACCCTCACATGCCTCCTCCACCACCAGCGATGGTGTAGCAAGTTCCTCCCACGCTGACCTCCAGCTCGGGCTGGGCAGGTGGGTGAGCTAGTGGTGGGCTCAGCAGTTGCTCCTTGTCCCTCCTCCGGAGAGCAGGAATGGGAGCTGGCCCCTGCCGGGCACAAGCTACTCCCACCCGAGGAGTGGAGAAGGGTGCGGTGACAGGCTGCGGACCGGCCACCCCAGAGGTGTCGGGGAGCACCTGTGGGGGTGGCGGCGGTGTCGGGCAGGACCGGATTACCACCGCCAGATCCTTCATTCTCTGCAGGTTCTGCTCTGTCTGGTCCTTCAGCTCTTTCTGCTGCCGGCGACACACCGCCGCCTGCTCCCGCTGCATGGCTGCCAGCTCAGCCACCATTTGTACCATCTCCTCTCTCTGCTTGCCCAGTCCTGAGTCTGCCGAGCCTCCCGTCCTGGGTTTCGGCACCACTGTGAATGACCACAGCAGACCAGGTAACATGAACATGCTTTGCACCCTTTATTTACACACAAACACACAGAGCTGCAGCTCTCCCGCTGCCAGCTCAAAATTACCACAGCAACCAACCATCGCATGATCCAGCGCTATGCTTAAGTCGGCGGGTGTATCCGCCTTCCGTGCACGGCACCGCAGGCAACGCCACATCTACGCTTTAATCTTTAGAGTGCTGTCAGGGGCCCGACTATTTTACATGATCATAGTTCCCACTAAACAAAGTATCTGAAATTCCGTGGTGAATATTTCAGAATCTTTCCAACTTTATTGTTATTTGGCAATGAAAAACTTCTAGTATTTTGGTCTCAAACACTAAAACTCTCTAACACTAGTTGCTGAGCTTTATGTTGAAACAGTAAAGCAAGATCAAAACATTTTGCTGTCACGAAACCTGTTGTAATGCTAATACTAAATTCCAGATTCACATTGTTTATGTCAAAATCCCGATAGCTTACCAGGGAGAATATACTATATTTTTGCCTGGTCATGATACCAGTTGCCTGTTATAGCTGTGTTTAATGGCAACTAACTGGGCCGACAAAGGTCAGTGCAGCTCAGATGTGCCATATTCACAATGGAAGTCATTCGCTAAACCATCTGCATTGAATAATATCTATAATGTAAAGTTGCACACAATGGAATTGATTCATAGCAATGTGGCAACCAGAGGCCATAAGAAGTCTGTGACATTCAGTGACTTCAAGCGACTATGGCCAAAGTAACCACTGGCAATGGGAAATGGATGGGATCCAAGATAAACTTTTCTCATCTTCCAGGTGAGCAACTGAAGTATATAACAATGAAGAGTGAAGTCTATTGAGTTTGGAAAGAAAAGCTTCTGGACTTTCATCTAAGAAGCTTCTTCAACTCTAAGAACTGAAGGAGCTTCTTGGATGAGAGGTGAAACATCATCAACAAACTTAAAGAAGTCCAGACGCTTTTCTTTACAAGCTCCTTAGAGTGCAGTGACCTGGATGACTGAGAGCCAACAGACAATGAATAGTGAAGAATATCTGTATTGTCATATGACCTGATAGTGAATAACAATAGAAGGTAACCTAGGCAACCAGTGGCCGGAACACTCACCAGCAACCAGCTGTCAGCTTCAAAGTAATGCGTGATGACCAAAATTGCTGTTTGATGACCAAACTTTTTTTTTAGGTTGCACTCAAGTTTTAGAATTTTGTCTGCCTTCTTGTTCATAGAATGATACATTTTGTTATATCAGAATGTTGTTAATGCCCTTAAACATCTCACTAAATTCAAGATTTACTCATTTATTTATTTTAACCCTACGATGGTGACATCTTTTTTGCTTCTGAACCTGTTGTCATAATCTCAGGCATAATTATACCATTCTTTAGCCAAATGCTTCAGATATCTAATTCTAGTTTTCTCTTAAACAGTTGCTGGAATAGTTAAATGTTAGTAATAACTCTGTGTTGGTGGTAGCTCCCTGCTGCAAACGCGATGTGTAGCATCTAGCAGGATGGCTACAATGCCAAAATGCTTCTCATTATTCTCAGTTTCTGGACAGATCTGCAGTATTGTTAAAAGCAGTGTAAAGGAGTCTACTTTTACAACGACCATATGAAAAAGGTTGATATTATTTACCGTTAAAGGTTCTCTAATAAAGCAACTTTTAAAGATCTGGACTCACAATTAGAGAGATGACTCAGTTTAAATAACTGAAACATTCCAGTAATATTAAGAGCTCTCTTCAAAATAGAGGACAGAACTACAAACCTATAATTACATGTGTTACTTGTTGAAATAGGCATCTAAGTATAGTTCTGGGTTTATGTCAAATCAACTGATAAAGGAAAACGACAACACCTTGGTCATCTCTGCTTTTGAATTCTAGTTGTAATTTACCAGTCACACATTTTTTAAAACGGACTGTTTGATACTTATTGTACAGAGTTTAAGAATAATTTAAAAAAAAAATCTTAGGGTTCTAGGGTTTTCTATCTGAGCATTATTTATGAACCAGCAGGAATCTGTGTTAGCACGGCTGATGCTAATGTGCCAGAAGTGGCTAACCAGCTAGCCTTTAGCTTAACATTCCTGTACTCTTGCTTTGTTGATGCAGTGTTGAGCAGAATACGTTAGAGTATTTAGTGCCTGATTACTGAATACCTCATCTTAAATGTAACATATAGGCTATTGAAAACAACAGAGAAATATAACATATTCCGAATTTTTCTAGAATACTCCGCCAGAAGAGCGGCTTTCATGTTAAACAGGTTATACTACAATCTTTTTTCCTATTACTTACAGACCATTAACATATATGATCATTTTATACTACTAAAATCAACATACTAAGATCTATTAGCAGGTTAATGGTTTACATGTATAACGTGGACCATATTAAAATATATAAAATCTTTACGGTTTCTACCAAACTTTAGGCAAAATGACGGGTTTGATTGTCTGCTTGTTAAGTAATCAGGTATTAAACCCTGTTTCCAGGTATCAAAGCTCAAGACATTGAACTTAGGACCACAGTTTTTCATACTAAGCAATCCAAAACATGCAGTAACACACTGATTATTATTCATGTGTAGTGGATGGTGTCATCTCTGACTTCTAGGCTGATGTTTTATCTGTGTCCAGTGTTTTCTGTCTTCCATATGAAGTTTATATCTGCCAGCAGCGCATCCTCTTACATTTTTATTGAGAACAATTTAAGCCACATCCTACATCCTCATCCCTGTGCTGATGTGTTGATATTAGCCTACCTATTGCTCTGTAGCCAGCTACAAAGGAGTAGATCATTATGTCAACTAACCCAACTTCAGTGACCCTCTATGTTACTGCTAGATTCTATAGCAGTCTTCATTTGCATCTAGAAGTGCTGTATGTTTATAGTTTTTCAGAAAGACATCAGTAAAAACATGGTATACAGTCTTTAAATGACAACTATCTCAGTGACTAAAGTCAGCTTACTGCTAACTCTGCCAAACCCCATAGATCACTGTTTTAATGGGTGCCTGGATAATAAATTATAACACCTGGAAAACACCACACTGATAATTTTATCGGAATCTGGACCTTAAAAAAACAAAAAACAAAAAAAAATAGTGTTCAGAAAGAACATTTGGACCTGGAGATAGCTGATGAGGTTAGGCTTAAAAAGCAGATATAAAAAATCATGACCATTATAATTATATTTACAATCTTATTGCCTTCTCTTGCTAAAGTCTAATTAATCAGTGCATAACACATACCAGAGAAAGTCTATGCCACCTAAAATGGCACAGATACTTAAGAAGTGTGACAGAGGCAAGACGGAAAACAACAAAAACAAAATGCTTTAGTTGAGATATTTGTCAAGATAAAATATTTGATAGAAGTTTGATTGAAGGACGGGAAAACCTAAAGCTACTATACAATCCTTTTGAATAGTAATAATAATAATAATAAAAAAGGAAAAGTACTAGTTCAGACTAAACAGTATCTTCTATAAACTGTCAATAATACTGAATATAAAGGCAATAAGTTCTGATGGAACAATAAAATTTAAGGTTTCATCAAAGGAAGAGGTATCTACCCATCTGTCTGTCTATCTATCTATCTGTGAAAGAGCTAAGACATCTCTTCCATTGCCAAAGCACATGCGTGAAAACAACAATACAATCATCAAATAAAACTTTATAATAATCTCTTTCCAGTCTTCATTTTTTTTTCTGCCATATACCTGCTTTTGCATAAATGTTACAGGTTTTTGTAAAAGACGGAGGTTTGGTTGGTGCAAACATATGTTCAGTGTTTTCCTTTTACTTTATTCTGTCTGTAAGTTCTGTGTCTGAAAACCTGATTTTTCTGAGTCTGCCTGTCGAATGTGTGTGAGCTGCATGCAACTGGACCGCTTCACGTCTGCTTTTTGAGATGGATTTTTTAAAAGTCAAAACATTCAAAAAGGGAAAAAGAGAAGGGGGAGATGTTCGTCCTGCTGGCTTTTGTCTTGCAGTGCAGTGAACCTAGGTTAACTCTGCTACTCTTCTGTTTTTTTGTTGTTCAGTTATTGTACTCTTTGACCTGTTGAAAATTCATATGGCACTCTTCTTCAACTTACAAAGTGCTTTAAGAGTTTTTGTATTTCTTTGAATGATGTTTTTATTTTTGCTTTTTTTGTTTCACTTCCACTGCGATTTGCCCTCTATGGCGACATGTATTCTAACCTCAATGAGGGACTTGTACAGTGTTACCCTCCATTTCCCCTGTTCACCTTGGTAAGAGTCAGACCTAGGCCACATTACCTACCTAAAGTCAGTTTCACCTCTCCAGTTGAGAGAGCAGTCATGACACTCCAAACAAAAGCTGCAGGTCTCCAGTCTTTCCTCAGAGGTACAGCTGTTCTGAAAGGAGAAACACCATCATTGTCTGGGGCTAAACTTGAGAAGCACCAGCTGGCAGATTCTAATATACTTTACATTTGGACTTCTGCTAAAAAAAAATCATTTTACATTAATTATGTATTAATAAGCAGGTTAATAACCTAAAAGAAAGCATTTGCGAAATTGTATAAGTATTATTGGTGTCTTGTGATAACTGGTTGGAGAAATTACAGGCTTAATTATTTTCTTGCTAACAGTAGCTTTAGAAGATTTAGGGGCTTCTCATAGCTGATGGTTTCCACCAGTGTACAGCAACAATGAACTAAAGAAATATGTTGTATAATTTAACAGTAAGATACAATAGTTAATATCACCTCCCACTTCATTATGGACATCTGTTTAACCTCTTGTTACCCATATATAAAATCAACCAATCACATGACAGCAAATCAGTGCCTTTATGCACTATGACTATGAATACTTAGAGAATGCTGAGGGAAGAAACAATATTCACATGGCTTTGAATGTGGCATTGTTGCCACACAGGGATCTCCAGGGTTTTTAAAAATGGTCCAAAAAAAGACAAAATATCCAGTCAGTGGCAGTTCCCTGAGTGAAAATGTCTCGTTAAGGTCAAAGGTTGGAGCTGATAGGAACGCAACAGTAACAGTAACACTGTGCCATTCCTTTCAGCTAAGAGTGGGAGACCGAGATAGCAATTCACATAAGCTCACCAAAATTGGACAATAGAAGAGGGAAAAACATTTCCTGATCTGATCAGTCTCAATATCCGCTGTGATATTTAGACAATAGGATCAGAATTTGACATAAACAAAGCATCTTGCCTTGTATTAACAGTTTAGGCTGGTGATAGAGTGATATAGTGTGGGATATTTTTTTGGCAAAGTTTGAGCTCTTTCTACTAGGTGAGCATCATTTAATGTGACTGCTTACCTGAGTATTGATGCTGACTGTCTTCTGATGGGTGATCAGAGTTCATTGTATTCAAATGGTTCCCCACAGTCACCAGATCTCAATTTAATAGAGCATCTTGGGTGGAAGACGAGAGTCACATCATGGGGGCGTAACTGACAAATCTGCAGCAACTGTGCGATGCTTTCTTTTTATATGCACCCAAATAAATGAGGAATGTTCACAGAACCTCGTTGAATCTATGCCATGAAGAATTAATGCAGCTCTCAAGGCAAAGGTGGGTCCAACCCAGTAGTAGCAAAGTGTACTTAATAAAGTGACCAGTGAGCAAATATACTCTCTGTGCTTCAGAATTAGTGTTGGAGTGATGTGAAACCCCTGAAGCTACAGCCAGTTATCTCGGAGAAATAAAGAATTGATTGTCTTGCTTGGCTCAAAGACGGCAGCATACACCAATAAACTGGGCTTGATTGATCTAACTACTTGATTGATCAACAGGTTAGGATTTGAGGTGTAGAGTGTCCACTTGCAAAAAAAAATTTAATGTAAGCTACTTTCCTTTGTGCACCAAGGATGACAGTATATTTAAATAAAAATTGGTGTTTTATTTTTAACTCAAGCTGTTTTTTGCTTTTTTGAGGCTCCACCTGTGAGGTTTAACTCAAGCAGAAGGATTTCTCCCAAGGGAGCGGGTCTGCCTCTGAGAGCTGACCTGCTTCAAAGAAACATTTGCAAAACTAAATCTAATCTCTGCACCATGATTTTTGGGGTGTAATAATGTGGCCGGGGTCTGAACTGTGGCTGTGTTACATAATCATACTTTATGCCTTGTGGCTGTATGAAATGGCCCTATGACTTTGGAACCTGCTGTCCTCTGGTGAGCTACTTGTGTGTATGTTAATATATACACACCTTGTTGGTATTTATTTATTTATATATGTATTGTATGTATTGATTTGGTTATTTATTAATTTATTTATTCCTGTGTCCTATTTAATGGTTAGGCACCTGTGACATATTTGACGGTCGTCAATACATTGGTGTATGGTGTAGAGTATGGGAGGGGTAGTGATTGGGGGGGAGGATGAAGGGGTATTTTGGGGGGGGTTGGGGGTGGGGTTGGTCAATGGAAAAAATCTAGCTGTGATACTAACTCTAACTGTTGCTCTCCTTGTATTGGACAATGATATAATCTAAGACCACTGTATGTATAACTGCTTGTCGTGAAGATGAACTACAATGTAATGACAATAAAGATTAACACTATGATGACACGGCGCAAACAAGGCTCCAATCTGTTCTTCACAATGAGTCGATAAACGGAGGGATCAGACAAAGAGCTACAGCACCACTGACTGCACAAAAGTGGAACTGCATCAACAACCAGCAATGATTGCTAGTTTTAAAATCCTTCCTGTAATTTCATATTGGAAATGTTTCGGTTTGAGTCTATAGCACATAATTTGCAGGTCAAAGAAAAAAATGAATTCATGAGCAAACAGTTTTAATCTGCATTTTAATCACATTTTCTCAAAATTACTGTTAATATATTATGTTGTAAGTTAAAAATGATAACCACAATGATACATTAAGCTACAACAACAATAATAATAATAACAATAATAATAACAATAAATATAAATAAGTGAAGGCTATAGTGTGTAGTGAAAATGTCATAAAGTCATAGTGAAAGTGAATTATCTCACATGCCAGACATTTTTTGCTAGTGATAAGCAATTCTTCATTATCGTTTATATTAATGTGGAAATAAATGAGATATGATTTTTCTTTTAGAGTTAAGTTACTGCACGTGGTCGACTTTTTATATCTGTGTAATGATTCCAAATGACAGTATAGTGGCGCTGTAGAGTATTGTTTCCCTACTGCTGCCGTTTCCCTCCATTTACAAATCAATATCTGATATGTTCAAGATCACCTCAGAAACTCGAAATTTACATACTCAAGCTGAAAAAACTCAAACTGTCTATATCACAGGAAAATTGGTGAATTTATATAGCATCTAGTAAGGTTTAAGGAATCCAGCAGTCTTGAATCAGTTTTATTATCACTGTTTAAAAATACTGTCCGCAATTAAATGTTTTGGCCTATTTGTATTAATTTTTCGTCATTTTCTGTGCGAAGGCTAAATATCTGATTTATAACTCAGGCATTCAATGCACCATACGGCTTGACCCACTTTTCCACATGCGCCACTGGAGCGTTCCGAGCATGCGTCAAGCTAAAGCGAGTACACTAGAACCTAAAGGAGGTTTCGTGTGTTCCCGCTAAAATGAGATGAAACGTAGAACTCTCACACGCGCTGGATAATCTCAAGACGAAATAAGTGCATATACGTGGATGAATTATAGAGTGCATGGCCTGAAGGTAAAGTGTGCGAACCTCTGGGGGGAATAAGCCATGTTTCTACTTCCGCTATACCACGTAACCACAACTTTATTTTGAAAGCCGTTCCCGGAAATGACGAGTATCTATTGTGGCTAGCTTCACTCCGGTTCCGCGTGTTGATGCTGAACAGAGGACGAGAGAGAAAACAAGCTTTCCATAACGTAAAGAACCAAAGCCAGGAAAAACCGGAGGAAAATGGACATGAAGAAGAGGGTCTCCTTAGAGTTGAGGCACCGGTCGCCCTCGGAGGTGAGTCTCTCGGGTTGTGTGCTTCTTTATTGGAATTGATCTGCTGTAGACCGGCAGGAGGAGGGGTGGCGAGCACATGGCAGCGTGTCTGCAGCTTGAGGGGGAAAAAGTGATTAAAAACAGCATATCTTAAAAAAGCAAGTTTAGATCTAAGCTAACACAAAGTCTGCGAAATTCTTGAATTAGCTGCTTCCCTTCAACTAAGTAGCTGTTATCGCCGCTCGCAAACAGCGCAGTCACGCAGTTGTTTACCACGTTGTTTTCATTTTATGCCCACGCATTTCTCGTTTTATTCATATTACTGATGCTCTTGAAAGTTATTAAAATTTAAATGAAAATCCCCACGCATGAAAATTAACTTAAAACCGCCTGCTTATCGGGAAATAAAAATATAATCGACGTCTTTCGGGCCTGGCTAATTCTAGAATTTCATTTATTTCGAAGTCGATAGATGGCATTTTAATTTTTAAACCCCCCATTGCGTATTAACATTTTATTTACTTGTTAATATTTTGTTAAAAATATTTTTCTGCAACTCACCGAGTCACTTTTTAAAAATAACTGTTTACGAAAACGCGTTTCCAGAGATTAGTCGGATCCAGCGAGCGTAAACGCGCTAAGGGCGCGTAGCCAGCGGCGTGCTAGCGCTACTTTTATAAAGTGGCTGAGTCGTTGTGGCCCGAATTTACGACACTCGTTTACTCATATCATTTCTCATAGAACCACCGTAATGAGAGACATTTTCCGCCGCAGTACCTTATCATTTTGGGTCGATAAGTGAGGGCTCCGCGGAGCGGAAGGGCTGGTAATAACACGCAGCTAGCAACAGAGCTAACTAGCAGCGTCACGTGTTGCTACGAGTTTACAAACAGAGCCTCGGTCGGGCCCCGTTCCAACATGAAACCGCACAGGCGTCCTCTGTAGGATCCTAGTTTGTTTTTCTTTTGAAAACAACTGAAAATGACGAGATTTACAACAAATAAACTGATATACACCTAAAGTGTTTTGGTGGTTTTTGAAAATAACATATTGTATGTAATGCTGTTGTATTTCAAACATTACAAAAGGTTTAAATACTGAGGGCAATGTATGTACAGGTAATCTCTGAGCTCAATGCTCAGGTATTAGGCAGTGTCTCTCTCTCTTTCTTACTTTTTTCTCTCCTTTTGGCTGTCCCCAATCTCCCTACTGTGGCCATTTCAGAAGTTTTTGAACCAATAAAAATCATGGAAAGCTACTCTTGGAGTTGGTGTAATGTTTAATTGGGCTAATGTGGTTGGAGTGATAGGTTCAAGAGTGAAAGGGAATGTTTACTAGATTGTCGTGAGAACTGCTGCAATGTATGGTTTAAAGATGGTGGCACGGTCAAAAAGACAGTAGGCAGAGCTGAAGATGTTAAGGTTTCTGTTTTGAGTGAGCAGGTTAGGACAAAATTAGAAATGAGAACACAAGAGGGACAGTTCGGTTTGCGCGGTTTGGAAGACAAAGTGGGAAAGCCAGTTGGAGGCTGAGATGGTTTGGTCATGTGAGGAGGAGCAATAGTGGATATACTGAACAAAGGGTGATAAACATGGAGCTGGCAGGCAGGAGGAAAGGAGGAAGACCACAGAGGAGGATGCAAAGTATAGGGTGATCAGTTATCAAGTTATTCCAGATTTCCAGCTGAAGCAAAATTCAGGTATGAGGTGGACACTTTAAGGTTTTGCTGTGGTGCCCACTAAAGGCAGCACTCAGAGAAAGGAAAAAAAATGTTGAAGTTTTGTCCACATTATTCAAATGAGTGAAAATTATTAACTGATTATGCTTTTTGTACATTTTAAATCTGGCTGAAAATAAATGTCACTACTACGACCGGAATACTAGCACATTAATTAATTAAGCCATTGCATATTTTTAATACAGACCACTATTTAATAGTAAAAAAGCTGCCGTATGTTATTGCCCTCTGGTGGTGACTAAAAATACTGCATCTTATAGACCGGAACTTCATCCATCTTTCATGGTGTCTGTGGGTATGCAGTGTTTTTCTAACTCTGTTTTAGGTACATATAGACAGAAAAACCGATTGAATGAATCATCAGTTTGAGGTGAAGGGATGTCCTTTTTTTTTTTTTTTTGTGCTTGTTTTCCACATGACCCCAAGTACTGCAAGCCAGTAAATGGGTAACTTGTGTCAGCTTAACATTCTGCAAAAGTCCTCCTGTTTATACGTAGGGGATGATTGGGTTTTATTACAAGGGAGGCGCTGTGATCATACAATGAAACACTGACATGTTTCAACGAAAACGCCGTGGAAACTCCCGTGTTCTCGCGCTGCTTCTGTGGGTAACCACGCTTTCTATTTGAAGTCACCTTACCCGTTAGGCAGTGCTCAGTACAAGGAAAATGAATTAGTCACATTGACCTCGCTATTTAATCAAACCATCAAGTGAGTCATTTGAGGTTACAGATTTGTTTCATGTCACCAGCTGACAACGAGATTACAGCGGCAGCTCGACTGATTTTGCAGATTCTTCATCCACATGTAAACGCAGAAGTGGAGTTTCTGAAGAACTTAAACTTGGGAGAGTTTCGGTGATCTAAAAAGTTGTTTACATGTGAACGAAGGATCAAAACACACAGGGGAAAAAAACAAAACATAAACTAGGGCTGGGCGATATGGCCTAAAATCCATATCAAGATATAATTTAAAGCAGCGGTCCCCAACCCCCGGGCCTCGGACCGGTCTGTGAGTCGTTTGGTACCGGGCCGCAAGAGTTGAGGCTCGGTGTGAAATGTATGGTTTTCAGGGTTTTTTATCGGTTTTCAGCGTTATTTTGTTATCGTTTTTTATCGTTAACTCTGTATTCCCGGGTCTTTTCACGTGTGTTATGAATAAATCTTTTTTTTCGGTACCGGTACTAGTTTTATTTTGTTGTATTTATCCGCGACACCTTAAAGGCCGGTCCGTGAAAATATTGTCGGGCATAAACCGCTCCAGTTGGAGACAGCTGATTTAAAGCATGTGCGGTAACAATATATATCGCAATACGTTCTTTTCTTCTGTATAACGTATTTTACACACTATAAGGCACGCTTAAAATCCTTTCATTTTCTCAAAGATCAACAGTGTAGATTGTGTATGAATTCTGGTTGTGCTCACTGACGTCGAACTGATTTTATGTGGTACATGGCACTCAGAAATCTGTCAAAAATGTTTTAGTACGACTTTGGTAAGCTACGAAGCTGCACCGCTTGATGGATTGTTGGAGCATTACGGCTGCTGTATTCAGGAGCCTCGCGGAGTAATCTGGGTCCTAAACTCCATCTGGTTCAGGTCCCAAAATCAAACGATCACTGCAGCATCACTGAGAGTTGAAAAACTGTCTAAATTCTTTCATCTGTAATAAAATGATCAGCGTTCTGCTCTACCAGGTGTAACAATTAAGTTTAACATCCAGGCATCCAGAAGTTAGCTTGCTAGTTTTCCACCTAAACACGATATAGCATGTTCTGACTGAGAGATTTCTAAACAAATTTAAAAAGTACAGCTCTGCTATCACTTCCAACATAAATGAAGACAGAAAACTAAACAGCAGTCACTTTTGTAGGGTTACTGAAGTTGGGCTAGCTGGTATATAATGATGTGCTACGTGATCACTAGCAAAACAGCCACGTTAGTATAAGATTAGCACAGTAAAGCTGAAGGATGAACGCCAACTTATTTTCCACTCGATAAAAGTTAACATGAGGGTTTCTAGTGGTTGGGGACAAATGCAGTCGCATGGCAGGATGCTGTAAACAGACCAAACTTCAGTCAGGAGAACAACTGAGATTATTCATCAACAATACGAGGTTAGTCATTAATATACTGCAACGACATGAGAATAGAGCAGCTGTGATGGAATGCAGCATTAATGAATAGATGGTAGGGAAGTGGAGGAAGCACAGTTTTTGCCCATATTCCAAAAGTGCTTCGTCTCTTTGATTTTACTGTCGCCCGCCATAATTTGCAGATGATGTTGTTTGCAGCCACTGCTATCCTTTAGACCAAAACAGGCGCAGCTTGATGACACCATCAACATGCACGGTAGAGCGGAATAGTCAAAATCTCTAACACTGGCCAAATTTATATAGTTTCTACCGTATACCGTTTATACCGCCCACCCCTAACATAAACCCTATGAATACCTGCGTATGTGTGGAAGCACAACTGCAGATTATTATAAGGAAGTTTCTATTTTTGCATAAACAGAGTAAGCAGAGAGGAAAAGCTCAACTAGATTAAACATACAAGAGCACACAGTGTATTCAAAAAAATGTTGATGTTTTATTATTTTTTTATTACAACATGCTGTTACTGTATCAACCATCATGCAAAAATTGAAAATGATATGTTGAAATCTGGAGGCTAAACATGAAACATTCAGGGTTAAAAGTGGCGAAGAGTCACAGAGTCAAACTGTAACCAGTTTAATGTGTCACTCTTCTCACATGCTGCTTAAAATAGAAATAGTGTTTACAGTTATCCACTCTTTCACCCGGTTGGCGACTTTGAGCCATGCTGGATTAACAGCGCGCTGTCCCTTCCCTCCCCTCAGGTCCAGGAGCTGGTGCTGGATAACTGTCGCTCGAGCGAAGGAAAGATCGAGGGAATCACAGAAGAGTTCTCGAATCTGGAACTGCTCAGCCTCATCAACGTCGGCCTGACCAGCGTCGCAGACATCCCAAAGCTGGCCAAACTCAAAAAGGTGAGAGGACCTGCAGAGCGTCAGGAAACCAGATGTTCATGTAAATGTTTGAAGAAGGTGCAGATGTTCAGCTTTGCAGAGCTTTCAGTTCCTTTTCCAGCACGTTTTCTCTTTGTAGTTTCTGAAAGGTGATTCAAATTTGATTGTTTGGTTTGTTATTGGTGAATTTCTCAGTTACGTAGCCTGTGGACAGCTGCCTCTGGTATACTTTGCTTGCTTTTTGGTGCAGCAGAGGAGGGTTGAGAAGCTTTGTGTTGGGCTTCAACTGTCACACAGTTTGATGGCTTTTTGTGTCTTTCTTTTTGTCCTGTCAGCGCTCTAAAAGTAAAAGACACTAATGATGTAATAATATAAAGCTGCGATATCACCAGGTTTAAAAGAAAAAAAATAATAATAATAATAATAAATAAATAAAATAATAAAAAATTAAAAAAATCCTGAAAAGTATTTGATATATGAAACTCCTCCCGGTACCGTTTAGAGTGTTTTCTGCAAGACGGTGGTGCTGGCGTCTGAGGGGAGGAAACGGATGCGTGGGTTGAAGGGTAGGTCACGAGCGAGGAACGGTAGCATGGAGGACCTCCAAGAGCTAGCTGGGTCCTGTCAAAAAAGTGAGCGTCGCTCCCTCACCGAATCCACTGAGTCTATACTTTGGTCGGTTGTGTAGAAATAATAGATTGTTTATTAGGTATTGAGGTCATAGGGAATGTAGTTTATTAGTGGGTGTCATAGTAGGATTTTGTTGTAGATAGAATGTAGGAATACTCAATAAAAAATAGTCCTTAAAAGGACATTTCCTTAAAAGGAGATGGGGGTCAGGGTGTCAGCATACCTGGCCACTGTACCAGTGTTTTTCCACTGTGGGGGGTTTACTGTAGGAGGAGGAGACCAGAGACTATAACTGTAGCTGCTGTGTAAAACTCTTCAGATCAACTTTAGAATAGGACTGCACAGGATGTAGTGTT